TGACTTGACGGAAGTTAAGCTGGGTCATCTTCCATCATACCATTGTTTTCCTCATGTTCCCGAAGAAATACCATGTAATCATCCGAAATAGCACTTCTTCTTTCTCTAGTGGATCTCCGCAAAGTTATTGGCTCATGATGCACAGGTTCTTGAGGATCTTGAGTTTGTTCTTCATGAACAACCAAATCATCTTGAGTAAGGGGTTCATTAACAATACCTTGTGGAGGTTCCGAACTTACTTTATCAAAAGTAACTGTTTGAATCGGTTCTGGGATTGTTCCGATTCTTCCTCCAAGACAAAGTTCCTGATTTTATTCTTCCCCTCAAACTCAATATCCTCAAAGAACGTAGCAGTTCCCGTCTCAAAAATTGTCTTTAAGGTGGGATCATAAAATTTATATCCCCTGGATCTTTCAGCATAACCAATAAAATAACTACTTACTGTTCGAGAGTCCAATTTCTTTTCATTTGGCTTATAAGGCTTTGCCTCAGCTGGACATCCCCACACATGGAAATGCTTCAGACTAGGTTGTCGCCCAGTCCAAAGCTCATAAGGTGTTTTGGTAGCTGCTTTAGTTGGTACTCTGTTTAAAATATAAATTGTCGTCTTTAGCGCCTCTCCCCAGAGTGACTCCGGTAAGGTGGAATGACAAATCATACTCCTGACCATATCTTTAAGAGTCTGGTTTCGTCTTTCAGTTACACCATTCATACTAGGTGATCCTGGCATGGTATACTGTGGGACAATTCCACACTCCTCTAGGTACCTGGCAAAAGGTCCTGGACGCTGTTCACCTGACCCGTCAAATCTGCCATAGTACTCACCACCACGATCAGATCTGACAGACTTAATTCTTTTATTGAGTTGATTTTCAACTTCAGCTTTAAATGTTTTGAACACGTCTAGAGATTGTGATTTTTCATGTATAAGGAATAAGTATGCATATCGTGAGTAATCGTCTATGAATGATATAAATTATTGTTGACCATTCCACGAAGGTGTAGGAAATGGCCCACAAATGTCCGTATGTATCAACTCTAAGACGTCTGTAGCTCTATATGCACCTAATCTCTTCGCTTTGGTCTGTTTGCCCTTAATGCATTCAACACAAACATCAAAGTTTGTGAAGTCAATGGACTCTAAGATTCCAGTTGACACAAGTCGTTCAATTCTATTTTTAGAGATGTGACCTAAGCGCCTGTGCCATAATGCTCCTGAATGAGTATCATCAATTTTACGTTTAGTACCCCGTGATTCTGTATTAAGGTTTTCGTTATAGGTGGTCACAGTATCAAGTAAATACAGATTATCATAAGGCAAAAGTGAACCAGTTCCAATAATATCTGAATTAAAAGACAAACTGAACTTATTGTTTCCAAATTAACACAAATAACCTAATTTGTCCAGATAAGAAACTGAAACCAAATTCCGTCTAAATGACGGCACAACAAAAATGTCTTTCAAATCCAAATAAAAATCAGTACTCAATAACAATTTAAAATGCCTTATGGCTTCCACCTCTACCGATTTGTCATCTCCAACATATATCCATCTTTCAGAATCAATTGGCTTCCGGTAGCTTAGGCAACCCTTTATAGAAACACTAATGTTAGTAGTTGCACCTGAGTCTAACCACCAAGTGTTACTAGGTACTCGACGCAAAATTGACTTCGAACGGACCAAAGTAGGAAACATACTTTTGAGGATCGGAACATAATTTAAATTGGCGGATACGTGAAGCAATTGTAACTGGATTAGAACAAAAGAAATAAACTAATTATGCTCACATTATATAAAAAAATAATAATTATAAATAAAATATATATTCAAATAATGGTTTAACCCATCTCAAGACACCCAATGCACCACCAATATCAAGTCTTTGGACAAGTAATATTAACTGCTAGAGGTATCTTGTTGTAATAATCAAACATTGACAATAAAACACGTCCAACAACAAACCAGTCTTTGGATTGATTTATCATCGACAAACCTAATCTTTATAATTATCACATGTTTATCATTACAAGTGTATATGCAATTCGGCCAAATATTAATCTTCCTTTGGGCCGACTAATACTCGCATGAATATACACAAACACTAACATTTAATATTTTTCACGAACTACCCAATTCAAGAGATGTTACTTTGGTAACTTCTTGACTCAATTTGCTCACAAAAAATATTAAACTACCAAACAAATTGAATATATTAATAAGGGTAATCTTAAACCAAATTAAGTCTCAAGGACCACTTAAAAAAAAATTGTACTATAATGCCAAATATTATGACTTTTTAATTAAGGCAGCGAGTCCCACAACATTAACACCATCTATTCCCTTTTTAATTAAGACAGCGGGTCCCACGTTTTGTTAGGTCCCCATGTAATTGGCACGACACCAAACGCATAATTATATTGTGGTTCTTTACCAATATGGTGGAATGATAGCTATTGAATTTCTCCACAGCGTTCTCAGTTTCTTCAACAGTACTCATCGTCACAAACCCAAATCCGCGACTACGGTCAGTATCCCTGTTATAAATCACCTCGGCAATTTCAACGGTTCCGGCTTGTTCGAAAAGAATGGCCAATTTCTGGCTATCAACGTCGTAAGGCAATTTCCGGAGGTTCCACGAAACCCTCATCTTCTGCGTCTTCACCGTTGGGCTCCCAATCAAGGAGGCCACCCTGCTCTTGGCCAAATCTTGAATTTGCCTAACCCCTCACTGAATTAGCCATGAGAATAGCCACAGGGAACCCATAGAAGAACCACGTATTGAAGCTTATTGGCTTTGCATCCAGGAAGAGGCTCTTCCACATTCTGATTATTATCAAATTCACACCCGTCCCCGTCGCCACCGGCATCATCATCACCGCAGTCGCCACGTTGTGCAACCACATGCCCACGAAGAATATCGTCGCACATAGCCCCAACAGTTGTGCGAGAATTGGGTTTTAAGAAACCCGGATTCTCAATTTTTGGGATTTTTAATTAGGGATTTAGGGTTACGGAAATTAATCTAAATTCTTAAATATTTCCTAAAACAAACATGAATCAAGTATGGGAAGCTCTGATACCAATTGTTAGGTGAAACTGTAATTGAATATGATCTTCATTCTAATGATCAAACATATATATAATCTCATACTGTAAACATGTTATAAACTAAATGCGAAAGCGTATCTGAATTGACCATAATGACGATATCCTTTGTAGAGCACTTTTGATTTGATCTTATGGTCTTCCACCTGAAGAACACCTGTATTTCCCTCTTGATTTTCTCTCTTGATGGGGATAGAAAGAAAAGAACGGGACTGTAACTGTGTTCTGTCTGTGTGCTCCCAGAAGGGGACCATGACCCCTTAAATAACAAAAATTAGGTTAATTACTTAAGTTTTAGTATTTCCAATTTGGCTCCTCATCAAATTAGAAATTGCTATATGGTCTCTACACAATTTTATTTTCATGACATATGCCTTTAGCCAAACCTTTTTTAATTTAGTCAGATCACTTTATTATTTGGCTTAATAAATAATGACCCTAACACATTTAAATATGTTTCATATATATACATTACCCAAATTTTGTGAACAAAATATCCACATGAACACACAAACATTGTTGGGTTGTAATGAAATTAATAGAGAGAATTTAACATGGCAAAGTCATCCTCTTGTCGTTTACAGTAGGGAAGATGAGATACTAAATTCAAACACTTCACTTTGACTTTTAGGTGGGGATTTATCATTCTTGAATGATTTAATATTTCAAAAGCAAAAAAGAAAAAATAAAAATAATATTACCTAATTAATATTAATATTACACCTTTTGTTGTGCTAAAAGACTGTGGCAATTTTTAATATTACCTAATTAATATTAATTGCTTTCAAACCTATCATTTAATATATATTTTTATTTCATATAATATATGAGTATACATTTTATAATTAAATATAAAGATATTTTAAAATAATAGTATTAAGAGTTTAATTCAAGTAAAATGAACAATAGCTAATAATAACTACAACGTGTTATAATAACGAATAAGACAAAATAAAATAATGAAATTTTAATTATCAACTTATTTTGGTTTATTTTATTTAATCTTTTAATTTGGTGATCTATGATAAAATAGGACGAGTTCATCTACTTATTTAAAAATAAATTATATGTTAAAATAATATAATTAAAAATCATATTTTGTTATTATATTATTAATATATATAAATTTTTTATGATATTATAATTAAAATTATAAAAATTAATTAATTAAATTTAAATTATTGATTATAATTAATTATTTTGATATATAAATATATTATTTTTTGTTAATGAAAATATTAATTAATAAATAAAAATTTAAAAATTATTCATATAATTAAAAATATTTTTTTTAATTATATATAAAAAAAATTATATATTAAAAAAAATATATTAGTATGTTCTTTTACGAAAGGAGTTGTAATTTGTGACTCATCTAAGTACCACGATCAGTCTATCTTGCGTGGTTGTTTATAAATAAGAGAAGACGGACCGATTTTACAGTCACTTGATACACACATCTACCCGCCACTGGATAACCCATAAAATATTTTGAACTAAAATTTTCATCGTAAATCTCTAACAAAATTTTATAAAATATACTATTGAACAAAAATAAATATATTTTACTTATAAAAAATAAAAACTAAAATTAATATATTTAATTGAATAAATTGGATAAATGGGAAGATATTATAAAAAATAATTATTTTAATTAGAAAATCACCACAACCACATAACACTTGATGAAAATAGGTGAAGCACGTTCCACATTGAATATTTAAAACCGTATTATTTGTCCGCCTAATAATCTCGCCGCACGTGCCACACGCCTTTGCAAAATGTTGTTTCACCCGCCACATCCACCCTCCGCTTTAATGGAACAACACTCCCAATCATACAAACGTCACCGTTCGTTCATTCATTCCTCTCTCCATTCTCCTTTTCTTCAATTATGACTCAGTGTTTGTTCAGCTTCACCGAGACCCGAAACCGCTGCTACCGGTCAGCATTCACCGGGTCGGGCCTCCGCTCCACTATCACAGACTTAAAAGATGGAACCGTAATGCATTGTTGGGCCCCCAAGGCCCGAACCGAAGCCAAGCCCAACCTGCTCCTCATCCACGGGTTCGGAGCCAACGCGCTGTGGCAATGGGGGGACTTAATCCGCCACGTGGTGCCTCTCTTCAACGTGTACGTGCCGGACCTCGTCTTCTTCGGCGGGTCCTACACGACCCGGCCCGAGCGCGGCGAGTGGTTCCAGGCGGAGTGCATGATGCGGGTGATGGAGGCAAATGGGGTGCGGCGGGTGAGTTTAGTGGGGCTGAGCTACGGCGGGTTCGTGGCGTACTGTATGGCTGCGATGATGGAGAGAGAGACGGTGGTGGTGGTGGAGAGAGTGGTGGTGTGTGGGTCCGGGGTGTGTATGGAAGAGGGGGATGTTAAGGAAGGACTTTTCCCTGTGACGGATTTGGATGAGGCTGCGAGTATTTTGGTGCCGCAAACACCTTATAAACTGAAGGAGCTTGTTGGGTACGTTTTTTTCAAACCACCTCTCTTGAGCTGGTTGCCTTCTTGCATCCTCCTTGATTTCATCGAGGTAAGAAAATCTCCCTATTGTGAAAAAAGAAAAAATGTGTATCATCATGTTGTGAAATAATATAAAAAAAAATTTAAAATTATCAAACATGTGTACCATGTTGAGTTATTATAGAAACACCCATTCTTTCATAGTTAACAATTAAATCTTGAAAATAAATCTTAATTATTTAGTAAAAAAATATGACAACTAAATGGACTAAAATAAAATTCAATTTGAATTTATTAGATATAATTGTTTTGATTTTAATGTCAGTTTTATCAAAATTAAATAGATTAATTGAATATAAATTTAAATTAATGTAAAATTTGAAATTAAACTATATTTATAAAATATCCAAATTTATTATATATCCTTTAAAATGGATTTGGATTTCAAATCCAAATTATTTTATTGGTTTTAGATTGGATTTTTAACATCATCTTATATTGTGTTTGGTTGGAGTAAAGTTGAAGGAAGTGAGAAGAGCCTGAAGAAAAATGAAGGAGGGTGAAATGGTGTAGAATTCTAACAAATTTGTGATGGTTTTATACTATCAATTTTATTTTATGGTTGTTTTACACGACGAAGTTATGACACAGGACCAAACAAAAGTGCATATGTTAGAACTAAAACATCTAGTTTTATGGTATACATGTTAAAATTAAAAATAAAATAATTAATGAATGAGTAATTAAACCAATTTAATTATATTTAATTTTTAAAATAGACAGTCAATAAGTCCTTAGGAATGAAATTGGACTCTTTTTTTTTCGTTAATGAAAAAAATAATGTTATTGTTGAAGTAAATAAATACTTCACACCAGTATTATATTAACTTGTTTATTTGGTTTCAAATTATCCTGTAAGGTTCTGGACCTTGACAGTAATCCCTATATAACTAGTAGCTTTCATTTTATGTTTTGTTTATATAATATATAGCGTGTATTTTACATCGACCGTAGTTAAAAAAAAATGGAATAGTATGGTATCTCTTATATAAATCCTCTATATTCAAAAACTTTATTAACATTTATAATTTTATTTTGTATTTCTTCCATCATCGTTTGTAATTTGGTACTAATTCCTTTTGATCTTAGGGCAGCGTTTGATAGACAGGTTAGTGAGGGATGCAACACAATATACAATTTTTATCATACATTTGATATATTTTAATAAAATCTAATGTGATTAATTTTGTACCTGGCCACCTTTTTAAGTCACGAGTTAAGGATGATTTACGTGGTTAATTTGATTATTTATTGTAGTTTAAGATTTAATGTGATTTTTGTTTGTTCGTTTCAGTTCTAAAACTGGTTTTAGACAACCTAGCAGTCTAGTTTTTGCTGTGATAAGTGGATTAGTTAGTCTAGCAATGTGACCTCAAGCGTGATTAAAAGAGAAAAAAAAATTGTATGTTGTTGTGTATGTTTGAAATAGATGATGTTTCAGCAGCCATTTTAACTAACTAGAATGTTACGGTGTATAGTTGTGAATGTAAAGGAGCCAGATTAAATTGGTGATTTTGGGCAGACAATGTGCAGGGACTATGAACAAGAAAAGAGAGAATTGATCAAAGCGCTCGCAAAGGACCGAAAACTTTCTGACATCCCCAAGATATCTCAGGTTCATTTAAACTTTCCTCTTAGCTGGATAACCTTTCTCCCACCCTATTTTAAGCTGAGAAATGCTACTAATACACTCTGTTTTAACACACTATGCTGAAACTTGTTGTAATCATACAATTGTGTACGTCTCGTTCCTTATTGAGAAATGTTAGCAACACATTATTTTGAAATTACTCTCTGTTGTTGCTGGCTAAAATTTATTGTAAATTACAATCTTTTGGAGATCTCATTACTCTCTTGATTTTATAGCTTTAAAAGAATTATTAACAATGGTAGATGTATATTGAAGACAGTGTGTTGTTGCTAACCTCCTATTAATGTACTTCCCTCATGATTTTGTAGTTTGAATAAATTCTCACCAATTAGTGTATGTTGCCAGCACTCTCTCTTTGTACTATTATTAGTTACATTAGAAGGGTTCGTTTATTTTCCATGCAGCCAACATTAATTATCTGGGGAGAACATGATCAAGTATTTCCTTTAGAACTGGGCCACAGATTGAAAAGGTTAACAACACTCTCATTATAGTTGTTAGCATTACTTTTGAATTTAGAACTCATTGGATTTGGATCACAGGCATTTGGGGGACAATGCTCAACTAGTGGTCATTAAGAATGCGGGGCATGCTTTCTGTGTGGAGAAGAGCAAGGAGTTCTTCAGCATCTTGAAATCTTATCTCTTGGATTTCCAGCTACCTGCAGAGATCTCACCTTCAAAGTTACAAAACAACAACATTCCTGTAAGTTCAAACACCAAAATATGAAAGAAAACCTACAGAGTTGGCCACAGAGAAAACGAGTTCTGGTAAAATATGAGTGATTTTATTGAGACATTCTTTTCCCACTGTCTCCACAGCAGGGGCTTATTAAAATAGTTCGATGCAAAGAGTTCGGTGGAATGTTTATAAATAAACCTTATCTCTGTATTGAATAAAAGCATCTTCCTTTTTGTGTGCTTGATAGAGTTAAAGATATTAAGAGCGGAATAGAATTATAAAAAATTTGCTTAAGTTTAAGATATATAGTGTCTTTTCAAGTGTCACTAATTTTAACTCTAGTTTCTATCATTTGTAACAAGATGAATTAATCACTTTAATGTATTGGCTCAAACGGACACGATAACAAATGATCGGAATCAAGTTAATATAAGAACTTCCCAAGAATAATTTTTGAACTGATGTTCATAGTTTGACATTCAGGTAAACCTACAAGTCAAAGTACATATTCCATCTCGTATCTGCTATATGTAAACTACAGACATATACATATTGGTGTCTCAATCAGTCAATTTTCTAAAATATTGAACATTATATTCTTTAATATGGACAAATAGCAATTGACTAATTTTATTCTGAAACATAATTTTTTTCACTAGTACTTTATCAGAGACGTAATTGATTCACATCAAGGGTCCGAAGATTATCTTGTTGCTAACAGAGGAGTACATGCAACAGCCTGTAAAAAGAGTGTACTATTCGCCTCAAACAAGATCATTGAAAGCTTATGAGAAAGAAATGCTATTTTAAAATAATTTATGTGATGATTTGCACCTAACCTATTTCAAATCATAATGACACAAAAATTAGTATCGCATAAATTGTTTTATATGTATTATATCTCTATAAAAAAGTGTAAAGAGAAAGAACTCAACCACGAATTTAATAATAAGGACAAAATAAGTCTCTTGCGAAGAGAACAAAAAAAGTCCCTTTATTTATTTATTTATTTATTTATTATATAAACATACGTCGGGGTCTTACAATTATATGAAGATCCAAAAAGAAAACAGTAGGTAGTCTTTGTATTTTAAGGAAGAATAAAAAGATTATTGATATTTGGAAAAAAAAATTATTTATAATAAAAGAATAAAGTAATAATAGAATTTTATTAGAATATAATAAATAAAATAATAAAAAGGAAGTGCAAAATTAAATTGTTAAAAATGAAAAAAGAAGTTTTATCTATATTCTATTATGAAATTTAATAAAGATGAAATTTGAATTATTTTTTATTTTCCTTTTATCTATTTATTTTTCATTTTTTTATTTTTAATTAATTGACTTATATTTTGAGGAGAATAGTACTTGTTTGTTTTTAAAAATAAAAAAAATTGTTTGATAAATTTTTATTATTATTATTTTGCTTTTTTATATTTTTAAAAACTAAAAAAAAACATTTTTTATTTTAGTGTTCAATTTTATTAATAGTTATCACCGACAAATATATTAAATTAGTTATTTCTATATGTGTTCTTTGGTGTTAGTTTATAAAATTCTCCTTCATCTAAAATATTTTTTAAAAATAAAATTATTAAATATTCTTTTAATTTGTTTAAATTTTTTTTTTAAGATAAGACTATTGTTAAGAACTAGAAACTAAATCAAACTAATTTAAACTTCCAAAACAATATACCGAATTAAATACAAGGATAAATGAAATTCCAATCTAACATGGTTCATCATGAAACAATTTATTCTACTGAGAAGGGTTCACGATAATAACAAATAGAACTCTAGAAATTTGTAAAAAGAGAAGTATTGTGTAAATTGTTAAATATTTGTGTTCTTGATGTTGTAATTAGTTTTCTAAGTTAACTATTTGGTTAGATTATACATGTTATATGCCATATGTTATATAAAACCTTGAACTAGTTTCTATGTAATTTTTTAAAACTAAATAACACAAATAATGTATTCTGAAAAAGAATTGAGAAGAATTCATGAGGGTAAATAACACAACTTCCTTCCATTTTTTTTCCTGTATAGGGAAGAGGTAGGCCGGTGTTTAAAGGAGTATAAGACTTGATATTAATAAAAAGTAAGAAAAATGTCATTTTTATAGGTCCACTTAAAATAATTGTTTTCATTAAAAAAAATGAGAAATCAAGCCCTTGCTTTATAATGACATTAAAAACTTATTATATAAACTTATGACAACTCACATTCATACAAAGATATTAAAAAAAAGTTGTCATAGGTTATATCATATATACCTATTTTAGTATTTTAAATTGAAAATTATGAAATTTCATTTTCTTTCCTTTTATGTAATATATTTTTCAACTATCCTTCTATCACTTATTTTCATTCCAGAATTTTTTACTAACTCTAATACTTTCTAAAATGACTTAATTATTCAATTCTTATATATATTTTTTAAGAATAGCAGTGTTATTCAGTGGCATTCACACAAAACACTAATTATTAAAACATGGATAAATATTAAAAAATATATTTATATAAATAACATAATAATTACTGTTTATGCGAATTTGACATGCGAGGATATTTTTTTAACCACACAAATTTGGCTTTTTTTTTCTCTGACTTTTGTGTACTTGGCTGATACCAATTTTTCAAACCAGTGGTTAAACTTCGGTGTGACGACAGAAAGGAGAAAATTTAGTGGACGAGAATGAAGTTTCGAAAAAAAAAATGATAAAAATTTTATAATTAAAAAAAAATGCTAATAAAACATACACTCTCTTTTTTTTTTTTTTTACCAAACAACTCAAATTAATTTCATCCTTTCCATTTTTATTTTCTCCTAAAACAAAATTAAGCGGAAGCGTCATTATCGAAAGTGTAGCCTTACGACAGTATCTATCACCATTTTTAATATATTTAAGTAAGTTGAAACTTGAAAGTTACATAAAACTCATTCAATAAGGTAACTTTATTTTTATTTAATTAGTTGCAAATTTGTTTTTTAATTTATAAAATGCATAAATTTTAGCTAATAATTTTTTTATTAAAAAACAAAATATTTCATGACATACTATAACAATAAAATTCCAGGGAAATAAAAAATAAAGAAAGAAAAATGAAAAAAAAAGTAAATATATTAATAATGTATTCAAATTGTGAAAAAATAAATAGTTCCAAAATTATTGGTCCACATGCCAGGCGTGGAACGACGTCCGCTTCTGCATCTGAACCATATTTGTAATTAAGCCTTGTGTGGAAACTTATAAAATAAATTAATTAATTTTAATACTTAAACAAATTATCTAAGTTTAATTTATTTAATGTCAATTAGATTTTATTATGTTAAAATAAAATAGAAAAATTGGTTAATATAATCGAAACGGATTAACTATCGTATACGTGAAAAAAAAATATATATATATATATATATATATATATATATATATATATATGCTGAAATGCATAATACAAATTTTTTTCTTAATTAATTAATTTATTTTATTCAATTGTATACCACTATTAATAAAAATATTTAATTGAGTCCCATAATGTTTAAAATCGTAACGATGTAATCACTGTAAAAATAGTTAACAAACAACTATTAGCAGTTTTAATTTATATACATAATGTAATTTTTACCGTTAAACATTAAAAATCATAATTTTTTTTAAATTAAAAACAGGATTAGTATATTTTATCATTAGTTTTATTACTTATTTATTTCAAAATACTAAATACTCCTAATTAATATTTTAGATTACTAAAAAAATATTAAATAATGCATGTAACCAACACTTTTAACAAAAAAGAAACTTTAAATCAGTAATTAATGTCTTTAAAAGTAATTTTTAAAATAATTTTATTGTTAACTAAAATCTACGTTACTTTCAGTTAATGATATTGCTTATACATTCACAGTTATTACTAAAAATATAAATCTTAGAAATAAATGAAATCCGTCACAAAACACTTAAAAGACAAATGTTGACGAACACTACTACAAAATATACTTTTTACGTCGTCATTTAACGTCGGTTATAAGCTGAGACGACGTAGAAAGTCTTTTTTTTATTTTTTCACCCAAAAATTCAATTAAATTTAAAAATTGTCACTGCTAAGATTCGAACTCAAAATTTTAGAATTGGAAATTAATACTCTAACCACTAAACTATTATAATTTCCTGATAATAACTTACAAATAAATTATATTTATATACAAATAAATATATATCCATGTAAATATATATTTATTTGTATATATTTTACTGGAAAGTATTTTTATTTTTTTCGACCAAAAATTCACTTAAGTTAATGAATTGTCACTGACAGCATTTGAACCCAGTATTTTAGGGTTGTAAGTTAATATCCCAACCACTAAACTACTACAATTTTTTGATAATAACTTACAAATAAATTATATTGGTATTTTTTGACCGAGGGTGAAAGTGTGGTTGACTCTCACTTGAGTGAAAATATGTTAAAGCTCACGAAAATTCACTCACTCAAGTCTCGTTTGAGCGAAAATTGGTATTTTTCGCTTGAGAGCGAATAACGCGTTTCCCAAATTTATTTTATATTATTATATAAATAAAATTATAAAGATTATATTATGTCATTAAATTACAAACTCATATAAAGATACCTGCTCACAAATTTAACATCAAATTTTGAAAACCTACTCGACACACACTTTCACTTTCGAGTGTACCCTCACATTCAACATATAAATATATAACTATATAAATATATCAAAATATATAAATATATTTATATTTATATATTTATATATTTACACGGATATATATTTATTTGTATATAAATATAATTTATTTGTAAGTTATTATCAAAAAATTCCGAGTAGTTTAGTGGTTGGAGTATCGACCTCCAACTCTAAAGTATCGAGTTCGAATCCTGCCAATGACAATTCTCTTAAAAAATTAATGAACTTCTAAAAAATATAATATAAAGAGATGGAGGACCTAATAAAAATATAATATAAAGAGAGGGGAGACTACTCTAAAGTACTGGGTTCGAATCCTGCCAATGACAATTCTCTTAAAAAATTAATAAACTTCTAAAAAATATAATATAAAGAGATGGAGGACCTAATAAAAATATAATATAAAGAGAGGGAGACTTCTAAATAAATAAAGGGGGTAAAGGGGTTGTAAATAAATAAAAATTATTAATTTAAAAAATTATACTTTCAACGTCGGTTCTAATAAACCGACGTTGAAAGCCTTCCGAACCGACGTTGAAGGCTTTATTTGTAGTAGTGGTGATTACAAAAATAGGTGTCACAAACAAGGAAAAATTAATTTTTTTCATAGACAAAATCTATGGGTAACTATATATTATTAACAAATTATCGATAAATAAAAATTCATCGAAAATTGTTTTATCGGTAAATACTATCAACGGATTTGAAAAGTCCGTCGGAACTCGCACATTTTTATTTATTTATAATCTTTCTTTATTTATCTAAATGTTCTCCTTCCATTTATATTATATTTTTATCTTAGAACTGGAGGTTGATTCTCTAACCACTAGACTACTAAAATTTTTGGATAAAAATTTACAAATAAATTATATTTATATACACATAAATGTATACTCAGTATAAATATATAAATATAAAATATATAAATACAAATATATTTATATATTTTGATATATTTATATGTTGGGTGTGAGTGCACATTCAGAGTGAAAGAGTACGTCAAGTAGGTTTTTAAATATTTATATATTTATATAATTATATATTTATATATTTTGATATTTTATATATTTATCTTTTTTTCTTTTATTATCTAATTAAAATTATTATATTAAAATAATTTTTTCAATATTAAAAATACTTAAATATTTATTTTTAAAATTATTTTTTAAAATGTTTTAATCTAACAAATTATTATAAATTAATCTAATTATGATTAAATTAAATTATTAAATAAAAAAAGTATTTAATTTTTTAATTAAGTGAATAATTAATTTATTAGAATATATTTAAAATTAAGTAATTATTATATAGTTTTAAATATTTAATTTTTTAATTTAATATTGATTTTAAAAAAATATATTTTAAATCTGTCGGTAATATCTGTTAGTAACTAATTGTTAATTTTTCGATGGATATATCCGATTGGTAACTAATTGTTCATTTACCAAATTTATCGATGGAAATATCATCGATAATTAATCGTTCATTTACCAGTAGATTTATCCACTGGATATATTTATTGGTAATTAATTATTCATTTATCGACGTATATATCCATCGGTATGACCAAATTCCACTACTAATCTAAATATGATGATAATTTTTGTTAATAATTACTTATTTTCTAACGACTATATATTCTTCAGTAATATAATATATTTTTTATTGAAAATTTGTGCAAATAATTTTGTTCCACCACCGTTGATAATAACACATAAAATACAGTGCATAAAATATTATTATTCTGTCACAAAATATGAAATTAGTATTTCATAAGACCACTATCTTCATATAAATTCTGAGATTGGGTCAATAAAGTGATGACTTAAACCGGTGACTAAAGGAGTATATGGTTCGACAAAATTTGCGATGACCAGATCCGTCACAAAGTGATAATATTTTTCTTTCAAAATTGTGAGGGATAATTCCGTCTCAAAATTTATCTCAACCAGACAATTAATAGTTTTAAATTTGTCTAAATAATTATATAAATATATTATTTATTTAATTAAACATTTTGATTAATAATTGTATAATATGTAATATGTGCATGTTATTTAAAATAGTTACTTATATTTATATATATAGAGAGAGAGATAAAATTTAAACATTAGATGTTCCTACTCAACAAAGCAACAATAGAATTATTTACTAGAAATGCAAAATCATGAACATTATTAAGATGAAGAGAATTAATATTACAAATAAATCATCTTCTTCTGGGTCCTTCGTCGTACGTCATCTTTTCCAAAGCATCGATTTCAATGGAGTCTAATAGTAGATTGAGAAACAGAAGAGGGAGCTCCATTTTGATAAAACCTTCAATAAAAATGTAGATTACATATGGAGAACACAGGTCACTAAACTTCTTTAACAAAAACATGTATCTTAAGAACTTGATTTCACCCTTCAGCACAGTTTTTTAAGGAAAAAAACCTACAAAAGCTGTGATGTAAAAACTTAGGAATTTTAACCATCATACTACTAATTATACCATTATAAATTGTATTCAACTATTCCTACTGTAAAAACCAAAATTGTTCATAGTATATATTGCCATTAAAAATAATCATGACTAGCCGCATAGCCAATTAATTCTACCTTGACAAAATTAATAAGAAAATGAACCCCCAGGCTCTTGAATTGCTGCAAGTAATTTGTTACAAAACAAAATATTTAATTTACTTCAAGGAAATTAAATTGGTGGAATTAAATCAATTGTCCCATTTGCCTAATATTCTTCCCTATCCACCCTATTAATTAATAACACTTCAATTAAAAAGGTAACAACTGGATAGAATGATATTTACAAATTTATTTATTTTTTCATAAAGGAAAAATCAAGTATATTCTTCCCCCATTTTTTTTTTCAAAAAAAAGGAAAAATAATGGTACATCCCTTGTTAATATATTTAATGAGGGTCGTTGGTCTATATTAATATTATTAATGTTTATTTAAATATGATTTTAATCCTTTAAAATAAGTAACGTTTTATTTTTATCTTTACATTTTTTATATTTTTCTTGAAAAAAAGGATGATTTTTATCTTTAATATTATGACATTAATTAATTACTTTTTTAAAATAAAATGTTAAACGATCTGAAACATACTAATATTGAGATATAATATTGTAATTATTTTATTGTAAATAATGAATAATAAGTGTGTAAGTACAAATTAATAATTTGGCATCATAAAGAGAATTTAATAATTATAATGGTTAAACTAATAACTTGTTAGAAACTGCAAACTTAATAATGTTTAAGAAAAATTGTTGAATATATTTAGTAGTTCATGTACTATAAAAACTAAATATGAGTAGTTAATGTGCTCTAGAAACTAAATCAATTGATGCATGATAACTATATAAATTAAAGAGGATTATATATATCTATTATTGATATGTTATTAGAAATAAATTTTATTATATAAATTAAAAAATTTGTCCTAATTAACTTCTAAAAGGTGTTTTATTAGAAACAAATTCAAATATTGAAATAGTACATATGTTTCGAAGAGTTTTTCCATAAAATATTTTACAAAAATTATATAATAAAATTAGTTTATGCAAATTTTTAAAATTTGAAAAAATTAATTACATGCAATAACTTCTATAAATTAATTATAAACCAATTTTAATATATGAAACTTTTTTTTCTTATTTATTTATCTAGTAAACATATTCACACATTAAATATACGCATATCATATACACATGAAGAGTATCAAATAACTAAATATGTGCTTTTTATGTCATTTAAGATTTATTAGTTAACTTATCAACTAGATTTACGAAACTCTAATTAAATTTATTCATACAATATACTCTCTCATACAATCGATAATATCTTAAAAATAATAATTTCAAAATACTTTCAAAATATTTAATTTTAATTCTAGCTAATCAAAATCATCTTTATTATATATTATCTTAAATATATATATATATATATATATATATTAATATTAATATTAGTTAATCAAATTTACGTTAAGAAATTTTATATTAATTAAAAATATGATTATAGTATATACATAAATATAATTTGAAGTTAAATACTTCATTACTTTTAAAATGGTATACATAATATATTGTTTACAGCATGTAAACATTATTATTTTAGGAAAACTCTTTGAGTTGTGAGTAGTTCTGAAATTAAGATTCAGATCCAGGAAACTGTTTGTGTGATCATCACGTATTGGTTTGGTTTAAAGGATAAAAACAAAAGAACAAAATGAGAAACATAACTTTCTGCATTGAAATGCAGTATAGTCAATTATGTTTAAGACAATCTAGTTTATATATATATATATATATATATATATATATATATATATATATATATATATATTGTTTAAAAATAATTACTTAATACCCATAATAGATAATGTTATTTTAACTTCGACAAGATCGTAAAAATAGACAAATTTCTCATTTTTTTTTCTTAGTACGGCAATATTGTTCCTTTGTGAGCAAAATGTTTCAAGAACATTTCCATTAAACTAACTTTTTAATTTGAGATATATTCTTAATTATACTAAAATTTAAAAATAAGAATGTTGAGTCCCCTAAGTAATATTGGTTTTATTCTCATAAAAATATAAAAGATGAAATGAGATTTGATAATAAGAACTTAAAAAATAAGTTAAAACTAAACATTACAATGTCATTTATATTTTTTAAAATGAAGAAAACTCTATTAAATATTAAATATATTTTGTTTTAAAAAGATACTCACTTAAATTAAAGATATTTCCACTCTTACATTTTAATAGAATACGACACTTTTTAAAAGTAATTTAAAATCCAATGACAAATATTTAATTCTTTTGCAATTTCATCAAATAGGTAAAAAAAATTAATAAAATAAATAAATAACACTTAGCAATACGCAATGTAAAACTTTTATAAATAAGGTAATAATGACATCTTACGTTTGTACATGTGTTGAAGTTGATGGTAAATTTGATGGGACTTCAAAATTCATTAACAGTGATATTTTCCTTGGTGAAGCCAATTTTGGTGTTATGCAGAAGTGAGGGAAAAGGTGGTAGGAATTTGGGAGAATATAAATGCTGTGTTATGCATGGCCTACATGTGTGTGGTATATATACGGTTGGCTAAATGATCAGAACAGCACACGTCTTTCCATGACTTCACAGGTACAAACTAGAAAGGATCAAAACACTCACTACCGTCTCCTTTCTCTTTCCCAGTCTTAACGATAAATATTAACTACCAATCTTTGTTTTTCTTTCTCTCTGCTGTTTTCCTTCTTTTGCTTTGCATCTCTTACACGACATCACGTGCCCACACCACATAACACAACCTTCACTTACCAGATTCATTTCACTTCTTTCTCACACACCTCACCTTTATAGCTATTTAGCATCCCAAAGCTTTTGAAGATTCCGGAACAAAGCACAGATACTGTCTGAGAGAGTTGCTGTTATCTTTGAGGAGCTGGCATGATTCTGCTTTACAAGGTTCGTCTTTTCTTCACCAATCCTCCCAAGTCTCGCCGCAATTTGCGTGTGGCTTTGTCTGCTTTAGAATCACGTGGAGGAGGAATTAGAGTTTGTCTCCCTTTTGATTTGTCTTACAATTATTCATGTCTTCTGTTCATTTTGTCACTTTGTTTTTAGAGAAGAGACTATTGACTTCTTATTATTATTGTATCCGAGAGGCGCATAGCATAGTTTAGAGATTTTATGAAGTGATATGATTTTGATATTTTCATTAGGAAAGGTGTTGGTTCTTTATCTTAAATTTTACTGGATGAATGTTTGTCGCATTTAATTTCTTGTTTGATCATAGTTCTTCAAACTGGGTATAGGTCTGTTTGGACAGGAAGATATTGTGGAGCTTTGCGGAGGAGCACACACAACTCTGGCCAACTCTTTAGAGATATCTTCACCAACCGGAATAGGCTTTGGTCTTTTTCTTTCCGGTTTGCAGATTTGCTCAGAGAGAGTGTTCTCTCCTGTCCAGCACCTTCCCGTTGATTATGGCTAGCATTTGGTTCAATGTGATAGCTGCTGATTGCTGACCTACTAGAGTGTTTGTTTGTGTTTTTATTGCAATTGATTGTGAAAGGAAGAAAATTGTTGGATTTATGTCCAAAGCTATTTAGGATTGCTTAGAAAGTGCAACCGATTCAAAAGCGGCAGAGCAGATTGAATTGAAGGGATTTGGAACAAGCCTCATCTTTTGGCGCGATCATGGCTATGTGCTTCTCTCTTTTGACAGTAAGGAAAGAGAAATATAAGGTAAAAATGTCAATTGGGATTTGCTTTTTTCTTATTTTGTCTTGTGGGGTTGGTATAAAACCTGTGAATTGTGATTAACTTCTTATTATCTCACTCTTGTTTGTTTATGCAGGGGAGTGGAAGATCTTCAAAGGAAGACTTTAGCACTTTACTTGCCAAACTACAGTCTTCAAAAATAGCTTCAGTGCCAACCACTTTTAATGTCACAGTCTCCAATGGTATTCAGAAAAATTCAAGGTTCAATTCGAGGGTTATGAGTCTAGATACTTGTGCGGAGGCTGAGGTACAGGAAGCTTATGACAGGGAAGATGAGGATGGAAATTCACTGTTGATCAAGGGGGAACGCTCTGATTTTGATATCCAAGATCATGAAGCTGTTGCAGGGAAAGAATATGATGCAACTGATAAAGAGACAGAGTATCCCATTTTATCTGAAAACCAAGTCATCAAAGATTTGGAAGACAGAAACGATAAATACAGCCAAAAGAGTGTTGAAACAACTCAAAGTGGATACGTCAGTGATCCTGGAATTAGCAAAGCTGATTTGTGGACTTGCTCAAAGTTCAAGAGACACTTCTCTAACCTTGAAAAGTTTGATGAGCATGGAAAGAAAACTCATCATTCACCAGCTTTAAAGTCAAAGCCTTCTGAGAATTTTGTGGATTTATCAGAAATGAGCCCTAGGTCAGTAATGAGTCACTACAGTGCTGATAGTGTAATGTTGAAAAGGCACTCTTCAAGTCAGGTGCTTCCTTCCGGAAGAAAAAAATTGTGGTGGAAGATGATCTTGTGGAGCCACAGGAGCATAACTTTCCCAAGCAATTCAACACTTCCTGCTAGTGCTGCTTTAAATAGTGGGTACTCTTCAGACACCCTTGAACCAAAACATGGAAAGACATTGAGGCCTGCGAAATCTTCTGGTTCAATTACGACGGAATCCTTTAACAAAAGCAGAACTGGTAAAAATATAGATAATCAAAGGGGGAGCAGGTTTCAAAGTGACCAATGGATTGCTTTCTCCACAGAATCATCCTCTTTTGCCAGAGTGGATGCATGGGTAAAAAGTCTTGAAATTCAGCAACTACTTCCTGAGGATGATTTTGATGTTGACAATGCCAGAAGCATTGCCTTCCCACCTTCTCCTGATACCGGTGGAACAATGATGAGAGCCACATCTAAGTTGACTTATCCAGATGCCAATGTTTCAAAAGAAACTTTGACTGCCATTAATGTAGTCAAGTCTCTAAATCCAGCTTCAACTATCGCTCACATATGTGGTATTGGTGTAAAAGCCATCCCTGGTATATCACACTTATCCAATCTCCGCTCTGTCAACCTGTCAAACAATTTCATAGGTATAACTTGGAGCTAGAATGTAGCACTTGATGCAACATCAATAAATAAATCACTAACTGTATTTATTGACTCATTTCTTCATTGACTACGCAGTTCACATCTCACCAGGATTTCTACCAAAGGGTATTCAAACACTTAACTTGTCAAGAAACAAGATCAGCACTCTTGACGGCCTCAGAGAACTGACCAAGTTGAGGGTACTTGACCTAAGTTACAACCGCATCTCGAGAATTGGACAAGGTTAGTTTTGATATAAGTTGATGCTCAAACATCTGAAATTTGTTTTGCTTTCATTTTAGTCTTTTCCACTTTGCAATTATTCATTCATTGTGTGATTTGTCAGGTTTGTCAAGTTGTACACTTGTCAAAGAACTATATCTTGTGGGGAACAAGATAAGTGACGCTGAAGGGCTACACAGGCTATTGAAGCTAACAGTTCTAGACTTGAGCTTCAATAAGATCACAACAACAAAAGCATTAGGCCAGCTAGTGGCTAACTACAACTCACTTAAGGCCCTTAATCTGCTTGGAAATCCGATTCAAAAGAACATCAGTCATGACCAGCTAAGTAAAGCAGTTTCTGGTCTTCTTCCAAAGTTGGTGTACCTGAACAAGCAACCTTTTAAGGATCATAGGACACGCGAAATATTAAGTAACAGTGTTGCCAGAGCTGCCCTTGGGAACAGCACGCGGAGCTGTGACAAAAGATCAATAAGAAGACTTGGCCATGGAGGATCAAGTTTTTCTAAAGGGTATAGAAGAAGTGCAAGTGTTTCCCACAAAAACATGAACGGAACAAGGAGGTGAAATAACAATTTTTAGTGCATGTATAAGGAACAACTCAATGTAACACGTTTCATTTGGTTCTTTGCAATGTTAGACCAGAGGAAACTGTGTTATAGTTGTTGCTGTCTCTTGATTTGTTTGTTAGACAGATTAAAAATAAATAAAACTTTCCTGATACACTGTCAAAGCCCCCCATAATCATGTAGTGGCTTCAAGCCTAAAGGGCTCTACCATGAGGAAGTGTGTTAGACTTACATGTGAAAGCCATTATTTGGTCTCATCCTAAAGTTTAACTTTTGGAATGTTTGATTGTAACATCAAGTTTTGAGTAATGGGGTCTTCTTTGTCTCCAACTTCGGTGAATGGAACGTGATATGATATATGATCATCTGGGTATCAGAGATTCTGTGAATATTATCGAAATTGAATAATGGGGTGGCCCATTGGTATCAAATATCATTCTTAAATAGTCTGAATTCAGTTCAGATGCTTTAAAATATCTGATGATGGAGGCAACAAAAATCCACAACCTAATTCATTAATCAGTCTATTATTGTTCTTTTCTTGTATATCAACCAAATAATTTGCTTTTAGATTATAAATAAATTATTCCAGCATAACCCAGAGTATGCAATCTTTTAAAAAATCATATTCCAGTTGCACTATTGAAGATTGCATAAAATTGATGCTTTTAATTAATTAAACCACCACAATTTTTTTTATATGAAAAAACATTCCGACCTGCCGGATTCGAACCAGCGACCTAAGGATGGCTATCAGGCATTTACCCACTACAGTCCTCCGCTCTACCAACTGAGCTAAGGTCGGTTTGATGAGTCAAACATAAACATTTAATTTTAACTTAATTATTGTATAGAAATATATTATTATTTTCACATGCTCTTTGTGACATGACATCCAATTTTAAAATTTGAACATCTTTAACTCTGAATATTTACTGTTAAGAAGAGAAGGTCTTGTGAACAATATCATTGACAATATTTTTGTTTTACAATTTTGGGTTTTATTTTTCAAACGCATATATATTGAAAAACGATAAAGTGGAAATAAAAAGCAATGTTATATATATATATATATATATATATATATATATATATATATATATATATATATATATATAAAATTTTATATATAAAAGATATCAATGTAAATTTTTTTTAATTTTATTCCGAGTGTTGTTTCATTTTCCATCATAATTCATATTTCGAAGGAACAAACATCAGACATCCAATAATATTTATTATAATAAAAATAGGTAGGTTATTTTTAATTTAATCATTGAAGAAATAAAATAAAATTTTAAAAACAATTTGACTTACGATAAAAATTAATGGAGGTCCTATGCTTTTTTTTCATATTTTTGTATGTTTTTTAATTATTTAAAATTATTCTATTCTGTAACTGTAATTTACAACATTTTAAATGAAGAGTTGTATTTTGAAATTCTAAGATTGCATATTTTAAAATATCTAGAATAGTATTTTACGAGAATAATAAGCTTTATCATCGTTCAAAGTTTTTTTATTTTATTTTTTATGAAACCAATATATATTCGAACATTTCCTTACCTTTTTAGTCAGTGATTTATTTTATATATCTAGCTCAATATCTTTTATTTTTCAGAAATTATTAGATAGTATTATAATTAAACTTTAAAATTGCAACTTATAACAACTTATAATAATACTTTTCAAGCAATTATATCACCAATAAAGGTTTCGATAAAGTTAAATTGTAAACTAACACATTTTTAATATTTGGTATAATGTTTCATAAAACTAATTTCAAGAATGGTTGATTTTTTTGTTATAGATTTTTTTTGGACAATCTTTCTGATAAAGATTTCTAAAATAAATAAATAAATAATAATTTTGTTCTTTAAATTAAAATTAATTTACGAATAAATTATTTTTTATAAGTTATCTCAAATAAATTTTTAAAACTTTTTTCTTTTAACTTAGGAAGAAACTCGACCTTTTTATTTTTTTTACTTTTATCTTCTAATTTCTTTTTATATAGAAAACATTATCTAAATATATTCATAGTTTGTTACTTCTTAATCTTGAAAGTTGGGAATTTTGAATTTTGTTGGAAATGAAAGTCAATTTTACAATAATTAATAATCTCCACTTCTCTTTTTTCACTTTTTAAATTTCATTTTAAAAGAATAATTACAAAAAATATAACTTTCTTTTGAATTATTATTGTCAAACAAACATCTTTATAGAAATATTAAACCCAAGAGTGTGATTTCCAATAATATAATTTTATACCTTGAAACAAATGCTTCCTTAACTTTTGTTTCAGGGAGAGAAAAAAAAAAAGAAAAAGAAGAAGGTAAAAGACATATTACTTCTCAAAATATGGAAGAAATGTTGTTTCGGGACTTTCCTTTATCTCGGCTAAATGCACACACAAACAGGTAAACAGACGAAGCAAATACCTAATCGCCTCAGTTTTGACATTTAAGTTGCTCCTGCTGATTCCAATTTACCTGTGTGACTATCCAACCAGATGTCTTGTTACAATCTGTAATGGACTGATTAACAATATGATTTTGATTTCACATTATAAATATTGACAAACTCTAAGTGTAGTTTTGCCAAGCTTATACAAGAGACATTCAATAACTTATAAATGGTAGCGGGAAAATATTCTACAAGGAGAATCAACCACTGAGTATTTTACAACAATAACTTATTCTATCACCATGTTCCCAATCTTAATATTGATTCGGTCACTGTGTAACTCTAATCAGACATCACATGGAAAAGTAAATTAACCTACCAGTATACTACTTTCTCATCTGCTCTCTGGCTTGTTTGGTAATTACATGGCCCTATGTACACCTTACGGTTACATAGGTGATGTGGTGTGGTATCATTGACAAGGATACACTGTTTCCTCTATATGTTGTTTTCTTTTGTCCAAAATTTTGAACCCCCCACTTTGTATGTTGGAGCTTTATCATAATAAATTATCATTATGGAAATGAATATATGTATAAATTGGTCTAATTTCTTCAGGCCTTCAATTTTTTAGCTTGCTTGTCTCTTAAAGAAAGGTTTCTGGCAGATCAGGAGTCTCTGATCACTGTCATTTTCAATTTCTATCACTCTTGCATCCCACTTTAGCTGTGCTGTTAGAGTTCTAGCTGATTCTATTATGGGAACTATGTCGCGAATTATAACCCAACCCTGCACACATGACCAATGTCAGCATATCAGAAGTCCTTGAAGGGGATGAAATCATGAACATTTTGAGAAATTTTACTCGTTCAAAAAATATTTTTGTATGAACATACAGATCACACCGAGCAATGTACACAATAGAAGGATTGCCTAATTCATATTTCTTACATATTTTACGGAAAAAAACTGCATAAAAATTAATGCACTGTTTAGGGAGCAAATACTATAGTAGTTTCAATTCAACAGTACTAAATTCCCATACCTCTGGGCGAAGTATCCTGTCAATTTCAAGGAACACGTCAAGCATAGTGCATCTGTGCTGCTCAGTTTGAAGGGATAAAAATCCTGCTGCATGCACCAAGTCATAGGTTCTAGGGTATGTTGGAAAAGCCTCGCACCTAGAAGCCACCAATAATAATTGTTAAGGAAACTGTAATTAGCAATAACTATTCTATTAGCTAGATGTAATGTTAACTACAGTAAACAGTGACTCTTTTTTGGATAAATGATAAGACAATTTCACATAACTCAATTTTAGAGTTACTTAACAAAACAACTGTAGCCTCCTCAGTTCATGCAGGAATTCGCAATTTATTACATGTCTTAGCTCCACTATTTATAAATTTCTTACAATTTTATCACAACATATTTTAAAAACATCAGACGTCTGAATCCTCCTACATCCACCAAATAAAAAAACTGAGTGTTCACAGAGCCTAAATGCTAACAAGGCATAAACCTCCACTGAAAAATAGTTAGACAGAGATCAAGAAATTAACTTTTAGGTTCTAAAAAGGACAATGGATCGAGTTTAAAAAGGTGGAAGTAAGAAAGAATATATCATGTGACTGAGAATATATATTATGCTAAGCAAAACACATTGATTGAACTAGAGAAGTATGGCATTCAAAATAACAAGAGAAAGGAGAATGATATACCAGTCATGGAGAACACCAACAAATCCTCTGTCCTGGATCAAGGGAAGATAATTGGGTCCACTTATTGGGAAAACATTCATCACCCACACAGACTTTCTAGCTTGCAACAATGCAGAATTAAAGCCACCAAAATGAGCATTCATGTCTAGCACATTTCTGAGCATGTTGTAAGGGGGTGAAGGGTCCTCATCACCAGGCCTCTTCGGATGATCCGAAAATATTAAAGGTGACAGGAGTGACCAATAATTCTGGACTGCTGTTTTCCAGCTGTCAGAGTCCTCGGTAAGCTCATCTGGCTGCAAGCCTGGTACATTTAAAAATATAGCCATATTTAAGTTAACCAAATAAATAGGAGAGTTGATTCAGTAAGACATAACAATTCCAATGCAATTGAAGAACATAACAATTACCGTAGATAGCCAACTCGTTTTTGTTCAAGTTAGAACGGTAAGGCCATCTTTCCCTTTCTTCAATTGGAACCCATCGGGCGCTCTGCATTCCTCCTATGCAGTTTTGCAGTTCTCGATAAAATGGAGTCTCCACGTCAATACCTCTACCACACAAAGAAGGGCCAGAACCTGACTTTCTGGTAGTAAGAATAGAGTAAGTTAAGAATCAGGGCACATTAATTTCAAAATTCTAAAAATATTTTATACACAGGGTATAGAATCTATTAACTAGAAATCTGTTTTACAGGACATAAAAAGGTTAACTAATTTTTCACAAGTACATGTATTACCTTGAAGCATAGCAACTTTTTTTAGCAGTTTTCTTCCATACAACAGTTTCATCTTGTTGTGACAGCAGTTCCCAGCAAAGAGTTAACGTAAAATCATGTATAAACTTCCATCTTTTCTGATTCTCTTTGTTACGAGCATTTGTTAGTGGTGATGTCCAAACAAAGTATCCACCCGGTTTTAAAAGTCTATCCGCTTCAATCAAGAGAACGCCATCTACGCCATGTAATATGAATGCCAATAAATTTCAAGGTGCTAAAATAGTAAAAAAATTATACATAAATCAAAAGTTACGGTTCTGAAGTGAGATCAAAATTTTCAGATTTAATGTCCAACACCTTATGACAGAAAACAGAACCGAGAGTTTCAAAAGTTAACCCTGGTTTGTTGGATACCATGTATGGCAAGTAAAAATTAAAAGGTTTCTACTTATTTTAGCAGATAACTTAGGTAAATTCTATTTAAAAAAAGAACTAAATATGGAAATTTTTCCGTAAGGATATACCATATCATTTTTCGTAATTATTCTGCAGTGCAAAAATAGTTCTTTTACATCAGAAATGCACAGAACGGATATAATACGTATTCTTATTTCATGACAACTAACTTCTTACAATGACACATATAATATATGATGTATCACCTATGTTGTCAAATAAGTAGAGAACATGATAGATGCGTGTTGATCCAACACAAAGTAGCATAGCTTGAAAGTTAGAAGATACCTTTCTGGTCCCAATCAATGCCACATCTGGCACAATGTAACATATCAAAGGATAGAGATGGAAATGGCAACTGCTTCGAAGTGAAAGAAGCAATCATAGCAGGAAGACCCCTCTCGAGTGTGAGTTGAACTTGACTGCCAGAAGGTTCATAGTTTGCAATGCACATAGTTAAGAGCTGACTGTCAAAGAGATGTGCTCCAAAGCTTCCATAGCCGCAACCTATGTCTAATATAGTTCGAACCTGCAAATTTGAAGATGTCAACATTCTCCATCAAATAAAATTTCAGGGAAGGAATCCAATGGCACGACAACCCAAAGAAAAATCTAACACAAGTTCCTCCAAAGCACTTTATAACAATCAATTTAGACAGTACAAGTTTATAACAGTTATGACAGATACAGGTTACCATCTTATCACCACAGTGAATATTTTTAGAAAGTATTTTATCATTTCATCAAGATAGTTAATATTCATTATATCTGCAAGAATCGAGACACCAAATTCTTTATAAGAAAACATATAGCATTAAGTATGATGAAATTGACAGTGAGAAGGTATCAAATTAGTGAGATACCAGTATACTCAAAAAGGGACATAAGAAAAAAGCAACAAACACTTGATGCGTCCATTCCAAGAGAGAGCACAAATGTATTTACCCCGGCTTGTATGAAATAAGATTCATTTCTAAGTCCAATCATTTCAGCAATTTGATGTGAGTAGTCTTCAACACCATCAAACATGTGAGAGGCTGAACGAAATGAAATTTGCTCTTCATCCAGCATCATCATTCTGTAAATAAATTACATATGAAACCTTTAGGAATCAAAAATAGCTGAAAGCAATTAAGAGAAACATTGATATGTCACTCACCTCTTTGTCAAGCTTCCAGAAGAAAGAACCTCCTGTGCTGTTATCTTCACATTAGCAACCCAGATAACATCTTTTCCAGTAGGCCATCTTAGAGGAATTTTGTAATTCACTGGTGGCAGAACTAAACAGTTCTGCCTAAGCTCACGACCGCATTGCCTGTCAACTTCACTGCCATCAGAAACTTCCAATTCCACATTCTCAGAAACATTGTAGCAAGGAACAAAGTTTTCCGAATCCTGAGAACAGAATTCCGATTCCTTCAACCTCAACGGACCGCGAGAAAACTCACCAATGTCCAAAAGGTCTGAGACAAGCTTCTCTTGAAGCCTTCTATAACCATGGTAAATGTGACCTCTTGACGAGGATGAAATCGATAAAGTCCACCAGAAAGATCCAGTAAGAGCCAGAAAAACAATGAACACTAAACTAAACTTCAAAGAAAGCAGCATCAGCTTAAGCCGGCTTCGCGGGGAGCTAACAATGAAGGAATCTGATGCAAAACCATTCTCACCTATGCCATTGCCACATTTGGAATCAGAATTATTTCCCAAAATCAACCTCAAAGGAAACCTCAAAGCAAAAGGGCTATGATCTGAAGAACCCCTCTTATCTAAATCTTCCTTTTCTGTTTTATCTTTAGATTGGGAGTCCCACAAGTCATGGCCACTCTCAGGGACCCTAACCCCACCAGACACACCTCTTTGCAGAGGCCTGGACATTCTCTGACTAGTCACCAAAGTAGCCAAACAAGTTAACCTATGAATAAATGTTCTTATGGTAACACCAATAAAACCCACCCTGAAACCAACAACAACGACAACAACTAAAACAAATGCCTTATTTACACTAGGGGAAGTCGGCTAAGCAGATCACACGATGCAATTCGACTTCACCAAAAAACGAAATCTTCAAGAGAACTCAGAAACTATAGAAGAGTGTTAGTCACTCCAGCATCATTAAATTTATTTAGATGAACCCATCTACAGAATCTGGCTCCAGTTAAGCAAATGCAAACCTACAAAAAAAGGAAATACCGCGTCAAACTTGGTGGCGTGCATTTAAAACAGTGAAGTTACGAAACCAATTTAGCATTATTATATAGTAATAAATTAAAAAAGAAAAAGAAAAAAAAACACACAAACTTTCTCTCATTAGGGAATCAAAAACAGGGGAATAACGACAAGGCAAAGCAGTAATTAATTCACCGCATCAGATCCATCACGGACCCAGCATTGGGATGGATACGTACCAGCAATCATAAAAGAAAAAAGAAAACTTGTGCGGTAACTAAAACAAAGCAGTGAAAAGCACTGGCTAGTAGTAGGCACTACTAACCATGGCAGAAGCTCATTTTCTTTGAGAAGGGAACTCGTTTACTTGAGATCGAAGTAGAGAGAAATAAAATTAACAATTTAAAAGGAAAAGGATGAACAGTATTGGTAGTAGCACCTGGTTTGTTTTGGGGTGAAAAAGAAAGAAAGAGAGAAGGGAATGGTGGAAGTGATTTATGGAGGGGTGTGCCTGTGTGGTTGGTTGCTTGCAACACAAATCACAAGAAGAACGCACGCTGTCTCTGCTTGGTTTATGGTTTGGTTGTTGTGGTTTGTGAGTGTGGATCAGTGATTGATTATTCTCCCTCACTCACTCACTCGCCCCGTCGAATGATTAGCGTGTGTTCTTTGGAAATGAGAGAGAAAGAGTCTCGGACAGTGATTCTAGGAAGGTTAGCAGGTTTTGTACTGATCGAATCGTGACACAAACGCTGCTCATGGAACAAAATAATATTGATAATCTAAGAGGAAAATGAACGAGGAGATATAGCCGAGGTAAACCCAAACTAATACTAATAGTCTTTTTTTTTTTAAAGTAATTAGGACTCTTTTTTTGTGAAAAACAAAGTTGTTAATAATATATATTTTAAATTAAATTTTAAAAAAATCATGAAATTGTGTGACTTTTACTTAAATATTATGAAGTCAACATATTTATTGTATATGAAGTTTTTATTTCCAAAATTTTCAACAGGGCTTATCATTATTTGACAATAATAATCACATTAAAAAAATGTTTCTCATGATTTATCTAAGATAAATAAAATTATTAATTTAAATGATACTAATAATTTTTGTCTTCAAATTTATATTTCAGAATTATCTTCGTAATTAATACTCTTTTCGTAATTATTTATTAATATAATCCTTTTCTATTTAATTAAGGGTCATTTTTCTTAAAAATAGTTATGGATTGAATCTTATAAAAATGTAATTGTTAATTCTAATTTAGTTTTACAGATAAAATTGGAGGGAAGATAAAAAATATTTACTATTTATCTTTTACCGACACCAAGAAGATACTTATTCAGTATTTTATTTTAAGAATAATTTATAAAATTGTGGAGAACAAAAAGACGGGTACTTTTCTGATTTAAAACTTGTTTAATAAATTTAACATATAGTTGAATATTAATAGTAATATTTTAATATATATATATATATATATATATATATATATTAAATGTTTTAAAATTATTTATTCAATAAACAAATTGAGGCCAGTTCCAGTGATTATGTTTTATTTTTCAGCTATATTGAAATGAAATTTTGTTGTATTTATTTATATTTAAAAGTTAATCAATATTAACCATTTTCTTTTTAGTTATATAACTCTTTCTACCTAATGCTTGAATATTATATCACACACTTGTCACAAATGAAGAGAAATGATAATTGATGTCACATTAAGAAGTTAAAAGTAATTACAACATAAATGAAGATATAAAATCTTTGAATTCTTTGTGTTCTGTGACTAAAACTGCATTCAATTACTTTAACCGCTATTGTAAAGATAAATGATCTGGAAGTTTTTTTTTTTTAAAGTCAATAAAATATAAGTTTATTTTTAACTATTTTTGTAAAAAAATGTTGTGGTACTGCTAAACTTGCTTTGTAACGCATGCTACAATAGTGCTTAAACGAAAATCTTCATTCCAAAAGAAATTAAAATCGTTAAAAGAAATCGCATCGCATATTGGTGTGATTGTGATGTTAAAAGTGCATGCAAGAAAGTACTACTACAAATAGTAGGAATAATTTATACTCTCATGAGTAGTAATAATTGATAAGTGTCCTACATAAACTGCTATTCTAAAATTAATAAATGAACGCGCTTAACTCTGCTGGCAGAGTTCCAAAACGCGCTTTTTATTTACTCATTCTTTCTTTACATTCTCTATAAAAAATCAATAGGAAGAAAAGGTGCTTAAGAAGCCACCCAATTAGGTCTCCGGCAAGAAAAAAGTTGCCAACTAATGTGTTTTAGTCATCGAAATGCCACATGACACTTTTCTAACCTGGCTCTGTTTTTGCTTTCAGAAGGTGTAAAAAAAGCCAGCTGGTCAAGTTAATGATGCATGAAAAAGAAAAAAAAATTAGATGTATAGTTTTTTTAGATATAAGTTTTTATAATGGAACGAAACATTATATTTATATTTATTCTCTAATAAGAAAAAGAAAGGAGGTTTGAGACAGTGGTGAGGTCGTAGGATTCTTTCTTTGCTGCTTCGTTAATGATAATGTAATGTAATCATTTGACTTAGGACTCTGACCGACACGTTATTTTATCAGTATTCATTCATATTTTATTTTAATGAAAATGAAAGAGAAGTGCACGTTGGGGTCCAAATTCACATTTATATTGCATGAAGTCGTACATTTGCGGTGCTTTGGCACAAATGCACATTGCTTCGTAGTGGGTTAGGAACATTACACGTTTTCATTTGGTGCTCTTTATTCTGTGTGAAAATCCATTAGGGTATGGGCAAAGGAAAACAAAAAGAGCTTTGACCCTTCTTCTCATTGTAATTAACTAATTAAATGCTTCTGATTGACAGAATAATTAAACATTAGTCAAACGAGTTTAACAATTCAAACAAAAAGTATGTCCTACGAGTTAGGTTGAATCACAAAATTAATATTCTTATTTTTATTATAATAAATATTTTCGTAGAATAATTAATTAAGAAAAATAATGTTAATTTGGCTTATAATAATATTATTACATCATTATCATGTATGCCATGCACAAAAATATCTTAACTATATGTACATTCAAATTTGTTTTTTTTTTTATGTAAACAAAATTTAAAATAATTTCTCAATAAAATATTGGACAAAATTATCAAATTTAAGAATAATATACTAATTCTTTTACATAAAAAATATACTAATTATCAAAAATTGAATATATTTTTTAATGCTTAATTTTGATAATTATGTTATAATATGTTTTAAAGCACTTGAATTAATAAACAATCTTTATTAACAGCACAAATTTATTATTTTTGTCCTTACATTCTTTGAAAAATTATGCTTTTAGTCTCTAGTTTAAATTTCAACAAGTTAATCGGTAACCTTCTTTGTGTATTACTTTAGTCTTCTAGTAATGTAATAACAAAATTGGTAGTGCAATAACTTACCACATCATTAAGAAAAAATGGATGGTCGCATTTAATTGTTTTATAAACCATCTTTTTAATGTCACACTTATGCAGATCTATCTCTTTTTTTTCCCTTAAAAGCGAATAATATATATATATATATATATATATATATATATATATATATATATTTTTAAAATAAACTAAGTCATATATAGTTATAATTGCAAAAAACACATAGCAGTAGAATAAAAAATAGAGAAAAATGAGTGAGAATGGGTACGGTAATAAATTGAGGCTTATTATGGTTAGGGTGGGAAGCATTTAGGATGAAAGTGACCCATGATGATCACAATTTTCATTAGGGCTAAGGGACCTTCTTTTTTCCAATAGTTTGTTTGCTTTGTGCTCGGTTGCCTCAATTTTTTAGGTATGAAATAAATAGAACGATGGGTGTGCGTCCTCATTCAATAATTCAATGCAATGAATTAACAACATTTATTTTTTGCTGAAGCTCATTCATCTACCAGTCTCTATCTATTGCCATCATCTTTTTCAGGTGAAGTTCATTAGACGTGTAATAAAAAAAACACAAAAAAGGGAATGATTTTATCAATAAAATACGAAAATGATAAAAATATTTCCGAAAACCCCTGCCTTGTATTGAATATGATAGCACAATATATACATGAAATACAGAAACATTCTAGGCTATAATTACGCTAACCATTATAGTCGGTATCCTAAATTTGTCTATTAACAGATATGAAATTAATGTGCATCGCTGTCATGCCAAGCTAAATATGGAAAAAAATAATCATGTAGAATCATGGCATGATACGGTATTTGTAATCGTATATTCTATGTATATTCTATGTTTATCACCCTCCCTCAAGATGGAGCATGAAGGTTATGAATGCCCAACTTGCCTAATAAAGAACCAAATTTAGTGGCGCCAAGAGATTTGGTGAAGAGATCAGCCAGTTGATGATGAGTGGACACATAGGAGGGTTGGATATGATTGTGTTGTATTTCATCACGAATAAGATGACAATCCACTTCAATATGTTTTGTCCGTTCATGAAACACGGGATTCTTGGCAATGTGAAGGGCGAGCTTGGTTGTCACGATAGAGAGTCATAGGGTCGGTGTGAGTAATGCCTAGGCTCGAAAGAAGGCCTTGAAGCCATTTCAACTCACATGTCGTGTTGGCCATAGAACGATATTACGCCTCGGCGGATGATCGAGAAACCGTATGTTGCTTCTTGATTTTCCAGGAAACGGGGGATTGACCAAGGAAAATAAACCAACCGGTGAGAGATCTTCGAGTGAGAGGACAACTTGCCCGATCAGAGTCACACCAACCATAAAGACGAAGGTCACTCTCTCTTTTTAAAAGCACACCACGACCGGGCTGCCCTTTAAATAGCGTACCACGCGGAGTGCAGCCCGCCAATGCTCCTGACGCGGTTGGTGCATGAATTGAGATAAGACATGAACAACTGTAAGATAATTCGGGTCGTGTAAAACACAAGTAAATAAGGCGGCCGAGCGAGACGTCGATATTGACTCGGGTCGAGAAAGTAGTTCGCCATCGGCCAATGCTAAACGGTGATTTTCTTC